TGGGACTAAAACTGAAGCCAATTATGAACAGCGAGAGTTGATTAAATGCCTCTTTAATTTGTGTATTTAAATGGTGTTTATTAGGATTTCTCTTCGGATTATTTATTCAGTTCAGAATTTAGAAGAAAAATTGATGATGTGGCAGCACAAGGACATTTTTATGAGATCATATTTCCGCTCTTAATATTCTTGTCGTCTGCGCTGTCAAATATTTTAAATGTCTTCTGTGTCGAATGCTCCTTGTGGGGATTATTATGGAATAACGGCCTTCAGGACTGCCATTATAAAAAGAATGGATTAAAAATGAGCTCTATTGAGATGATAAAAGTGTTGTTCACACATTTGGATAGAAAATGGGAAAATAAAAGAGAAGGAAGGAAGGTTAGGATTGGTAATTTTGTAGTTCTCCTGTTTAGCCTGAAGGGGGTTATTTCAGTTCTGTTTTCTAAAATACTGTGGGTTCTACAAGTCTAATTTCTTTCACCTGGTATTAGGATGTGTTTTGGCAGGTGTTTAAATTGTTTTTGTCACTTTTTGACCTTTTTGAGTGGATTTCTCAGACTGATATAACAAGGAAATGTAACTATTTTATGTATTGTCAGAAAAGTGGATAATTTGTAGAAATTCACATAACTTTATTCAAATGAAAATGCTATTTGTTTATATTGAGGGATGAGCAAATCATACTAAAATGTAGGAGTGATGTATAAGTTCCTATTAATTTGCCACTAAATTGAAAAGTTAGGAATTGCCATGAAATTGTTTTGGATTGCTTTAATAGTGTAAAGGCACATGTTGTTGAAAGCATTTAAACAGCCTCAAAAGACCACCTATATTTATTATGAAACCTAATGCCTAATGTAGCACCTAAGTGATAATTACAGGATGTACTATGATGTTCAAACTAATTTTCAGCTTAAAATTAGAATTTGAAGTACAAATTAGGATCCTAAAATATTTCATAATGAACTTCTTTCATAATGAAAGTCTAAACCATGAATTGTGCACATAATTTTATAGATTGCAGTGTTCTTTAAATCTTTTGTTTTTAAAACTGTATCTTTCAGATCAGCATTTTGTTCCCTCATTCATTCATTTTTCTTTTGGCTAAGTCCCTTTATAAACTGTTGTCGTCAATCTGGGGTCGCGGAAAAAAACGCCAACTTATCCAGCATTTGTTTTACGCAGCGGATGCCCTTCCAGCTGCATCACTCTCATTCACACACACTACAGACATTTTAGCTTACCCAATTCACCTGTACAGCATGTCTTTTGAATTATACTATACTGAACTTCTATGGTTTTACTCAGTAGTTTGAACTTCCAATTTGCAGTTTCTGTGCAGCTTCAAAGGACTCCGCATGGTCCCAGTCACCACTAAGGAACTTTCCTGAAAAAAATCAAAAACCTTAATTTCTTTTCAACTGAAGAAAGAAAGAACATCTTGAATCACGAGGGGGTGAGTAAATCATCAGGAGATGTTCACTCTGGAAGTGAACTAATCAGTCTAGGTTCATTAGAAATGCATGCCTCAGGCTACATTTTTTATAAAAAATAAAATACGTTGCTACATCCTGTACAATACAGCCAGATCGCATTGTAAACCACTGACCTAAACTTTCTCTAAAAAAAAAAAACTAAAGGTGCTTTGAGTTTTACCTTGATTTTACATTACTTTAGCTTCTTGTGGAACTGTGCTTCACCAGACTATAACCTGAGCACTCTGCATACAACACCAAACAAATTGAGCTACAGAGCAAGCAGACCACACCAGAAAAGTTGTACATATGGAGATAGATGAGGCAAACATTAGATTAAGTTGTTTTATAAAATTTATCAAATATCAAATAATTAAATATCAAAAAGTAATTTATCAAATAATGCTAACGGTCTAATCTGATTCAATGATCTAGCTAAGATAAGATAAAAATGTTCCCGCCAGTCCCAGATATTGGCTGAATGAATAATTTTGCATCCCTACAATGCATGTAAAATATCTTAATGCCAAAACAACATCAATTTGTAAAAAAACAAACAAACAACAAAAAAAAAACCTCAAATCAGTTACAGGATAGTCCTCTAATCCTTGTTTGAGGTGTTTATGATAAATTTGCAATTTTTTTGATGTGGTTTTAACAGCAATGTTAGAAATCAATTTGATGTTTTGCCATCAATCGTCACCTTAGAATATAAGGTTCTATCTGAACATTTGGTCAAAATTGAGTTATTGACATATTCTTATTGAATGACAACTTTTTTACATTATGGGATTTTTTGTTTACATTTTACATTTGTTTTACATTTTGTTTACATTTTATGACTTTTTATTTTAAAAACATATGTTACACATACTGTATTACGCAATGTTGTCAATTGACATCAAATCAGTTTGATGCATGTTGCAGTTTGTTGTACAAAAAACTGCATGAAAACATTCCTTTATTCATTAACAATATGTATTAACAATATCTTTACTATGAAAAGGAACAAACATTTTTGGCATCATAAAAAATGTTTATTTCCTCTAGAAACTGCAGTCAAACGTATGTAGTCCATATTGGCCTAGTAAATAAAAAATTTCATTTTATTCCAGTCTATGGTCACGTTTACACTGTCAGGTCTTGATCCCCATTTCCGGTTTGTTGCATGTTGTTCTATGTCATTTGCATGTCCGTTTACACGTTCTGTTAATTGTGACCTTTATCTGATTCATGTGTTTACACTTGCCATACAGTTTACAATGTTGCACATGTGTAAAGGCGCGTTCTAGCATCTGCACCACACTAGCTATGATGGAAGTAACTGTCTTGCTTTTAGCTCTGTGAAATATGTGAAGTTCACCCAACTCTAAAATGATTTTGAGGCGAAGGAGGAAAAGGGCCGTCATCGCAGCTTGCACCTATGGTTTATATATGGTGTCCTTCACCATTCAAAGGAATTTATTTGTACGAGAGAGATCTCAGGTCTGGTGGGACACTCTTTCGTCTACGTCATTAAGCAGGTGAGGAGTACCACACTGTCGCAAGTTCAATGACATCCAAATTTTCTAATGCCTCAATAAATCTGATCTGCCTGTTTACATGATGGTCGCATTGTCACATATCTGAATGCATGCGTTTTTTTAGTGTTTACATGGTCATAGAACAGATCCGATCTGTGTCACATATGAGCAAAAAATCAGAATTGGGTCACATTTAACTGACAGTGTAAACAGGGCTTTTGTAGCTACAATGTATTGAACAGTCAAGTTTAAGTCATTTTCGAGATAAACGCCAATGGTCTAATCTGATTTAAATGATCTATGCTAAGCTACGCTAAAAAAGCTCCCACCAGTCCCAAAGATTGACTGAATAGATTCAAGGATGGTAAAAATTTAACTGGGTAGTTGTGAAGTGAACTTATTTTTTTTAAGCATTCCTTTAATTGATGACAGCTAGACAACATTTCAAACTGAGATCTCATCTGATCTCATTTTAATCATTTGAAGTACAAGCTTAACAGTATCTGGGCTTTCTCTAATCTCTTAAAGGGGTCCAGAATGTAATTTTAAGACTTAGTTGTGTTTATAAGATGCAATGCAATATGTGCTCATGTTTCACTTGAAGGAAATCATGTTATTTTTTCATATATCTCACTTTGATTATACACAGCTACTCAGCTAACATGAAAACGACTGTCATATTTCCTAGTTCCTCTGAAAGGCCCGCTCTTAAGTGACTCTGATTGGTCAGCGTCATAATGTGCTGCGATTCGCGGATCGGCTTTTCTGCTGTGTAAACAATCAGTCAATCTCCTGCCTGCTCACTAAAATAAAATCTGAGCTTTTGCCATTGTGTGAGTGTGTGTGAATGTGTGAACTATGTGTGTGTGTGTGTGTGTGTGTGTGTGTGTGTGTGTGTGTGTGTGTGTGTGTGTGTGTGTGAATGTGTGAACTTTCTGTAACAAGTGCATGTGCACTGGAGTTTGTTTTTTTTCTTTTTCTCTGATGCTCGGATTAAGTTATTTTCTGTAATATATCGTGACAGAAGAATAAAGCACAAGATGTGGAATGCGACGTGTGTGAGTCTTGATTTATTTTTCTGCTGCTACCACGAGTCAGGTAATCTCTCCTGTATTTTCTTTAACTCCACGCGTTACACGACGCCTTTCACATATATCCGGAATATGCAGGTGTAAGTAATATGAATCATCCACATATCTTTTGCGACTTCTTTATCTGAGATGTGAAACGTATGGAAAAGCTGCCTGAAGACAATCAATGCAGTCACGCACACACATAAGAAACACGAACGTGCTGGTGGAGAGTGTGTGTGTGTTTACAGCAGTTTACCTGATTAATCTGAATTTGTAGCCAAATTGTTTGCGGTGCAAAGCAGCATTTCCCATTGTTTACATCGTTGCTACAGCTTACCGTTAACGCTAGACACTGAACATGTCATGGTCAATTTTAACAAATAAAAACACTTACAGGTTGTAGTTCACAGCTTCTGCTTTGAGGAGATTTTAGCCGAATCAAGCACTTAACTGGGAGAGATTCTGAAAGCTGTTTTGTCAAATCATGCTTGCTATGTATTTTATAATTCTCTGGAACATAATTAATATTGAACAGTAAGCACTTCTGTCTTTGTGTTGTGTCATTTGGAAGCTCAAATACAGAAACAGACAAAGCTCTGTGGAAACAGCAGTGTCTGGATGCATTTTAGCTCTCTCTGCTATAACGTTACAGCACCTCTGGCCACGGCCCTTAGCTGCGCAGTTTGTGTGCGCAGTAAACAAACCTTTATGATCTCACAAGGGGCGGAAGTATTTTTTGTAGTCCCCAAAATGCGTTCATTGTATTCTTTGCTAAGCTAACTCCAAGGTCTCCCTTTGGATTGAACTTAGAACTTTTTACATTCAGAGATGTTGTTTATGTTCACACAGCTACATTACACATCAACTAAAGTTTAACATATGATATCATAGTGGACCACTCCTTTAAGAACGCATCACCAGTTTACCTTCAGCAGCAGGTCTGGACCAACATTTCTGTTAATTCCTGACAAGATCTGATGTCCACAACACTGCCTTCATATCCAGTTAATCACTGCAGGAGAAGCAGAGAACAGAATCACGACATGCTCACTCTTCTGTCCATTGGCTCCATCTGGCAGTTCACCATTATTGTCTTCCTGATTTCATGCCCAGATGTTTTCTCTCCACATTTATCTGTCCAAGTCATCTGTGGAGTGAAGGAAATAAGGGATATGGAGGAAACACCATTGTATTTTGTCTATACGCTATTGCCATCTGCTTCTTCGCCGATACGGAGTTCTTATAACACGGTTTTCTTTAATACTATGACTTCTTTTTGCTGTCAGATAAGATGGCCACTTTATAACCACAGATTACATCTAATCCTACTCTGAAAAGGATTTGCAGCATCACTGACAGTGCTGTTAGATCCACGGCTTAATCTTACAGTTTATGGAGTTTAATACCATACACTGCCGAGAAGGCAGTGCAGAGAAATTAAACTGGCAGAAATTACTTAATTTAATTATGTTTTAAATTGAATTATAAAAAAAATGAATTAAACAAACTAATAATTACATTTCATATTGAAATTAGTGGCTTCATCTCTAAATATTTTAAATAAATCAATTTATATAAAATATATCTAATTAAATATTTGCAAACACTATTGATTTAGTATAATTTAAAAACATGACATCAATCCATCAATTAATTAATCAATCAATATTTATTTTTTGTCATGTACATAGGCATGTTAATATTTTAAAGGGTCACGAAACACTAAAACACATTTTTTGTGATGTTGACAGTCATATATACAGTATGACCCATGCTGCTAAAACACTGTTAGAACACATATATTTCACAAACAAAAAAAAGTGAAAATTGGTTGTTTTTGCATTTTTCGAGGAAATTCTTCTGGTTTGAAAAGAAATTTTGAAGCTACGTCACGGCCATAAGACCCTTTTGTAAATTCCAGCATGGAGACTGGATGTCTGTACCGGCAGGTACAATGTGAAGTCTTTGAGTTTTCATCATTAATTCAAGAGAATTAATTCATCATTAATTCAACTTAGTTCGAACCAATCAGTACGCTCTATATTGTGTATGAGGTGCAACTTCTTTAATTTGCATGATGTAGCTTCGAAGACTCCTCTTACCTGTTACAATGTTCAGATGGCAGAGAGATGCCATGATGTGTTGCTAACCGTAATTAAAACAAGTGGAAGAAGAAGAATTGTTAGGAGATATGGGTCGTTAGTGTTGTGTTTATAAATGTGCTACAAAGGTGGTGTTGTTTTCATTTCCCTGCTATGAGAGCGCAGCGTGTGGACTCACATGTGTGATTTACAGTGGTCTGCTAACACGTGACAAATATATGTTTGTAAGGAACATTTTTTACCTAAGAGCTTTTCACATCTGGAAATGGTGAAATGCGGATTTGCCACTTGTCTTCTTTTAACAAAAAGATGTTGTTCCACTTCGCGTTGATTGTTCTGTCTCTACAGATTTGGTAAGTGTGTGATCAGTGTTCTTTGTTCATGTTTCTTCAGAGGCAAAATTAGTTTGATGCCTAATCCCAATCCTATTTTTGTACCCCTACCCCTTCCCCTTTCCCTTGGCCTAGTGGGAAGGGGAAGGCCTTCAAATTTTACCCCTAAGAAATGGGACATCACTATTATACCTGCACACGTCATCATATGTACAGTAATTGGGATCTCTTGCTTCATATGAGATTGACGATTGTAACTGCTGTAGTTATTCCAGATGTGTTATTTTTCAGTATTTATCTTCAGGAAATCACTGAAGGCAAAAATATCATGTTATCTTGGTGATATAATGTGGCAATAAGATCGTAACTATACTGCGCATTACACAGTGGCCATATTCATCTATGTAAACACAGAAAAACAAAATTGACATTATACTATACACTAAAATGGTCATTCCCAGCCACTAGACTTTTCTGACAGGGTATTCGAGTGTCATAGAGTATCAGAATGTTGTGGCACGGCTATACAGGAGTTATTATTGTGGATTGCAGATAGCGAAATTGAGCGGTTTTTATTTCAGCTTTTTTAAAATCATGATGGTAAAACACAAACGCTCTAATGAATATATTAAAACATATGTTTGTTTGTTTGTTGTAAAAACTTAAGAATTAACAAAAAATACTAATTTGTGGGTCTCCTTTCTTCAGGATGCAGCTTTGCTGCCGTTGTGGCTGGTGTATTCTGGGAAATTTTCTTACCCCTTGGTCTTGAGTGTGGTGCTGAAAAATCTTCATTCAAAGAGGTATTTATCCTCTCCCCTTAGCCCTCGCCTTCAAGCTAAAGAGAATTGGGACACCCCAATAGGGGTAGGGGTAATGGGGAAGGGCTAAGAGGTAGAATTGGAATTGGGCCTTTGTATCATCAGCAGTACTCGTTCAGTTTTTAAAGACATACCTTAGTCCAAATGATTTAGCTACTAAGTTTAACGTACAATAATATCACTACAATATTATGGACTGAAAGATCCGCTGTAAATGCTGCTTTCCGAATGTAAACACCTTAATCAAACTATTACCATCATGTGGCATTTTCACTGCATTTTGTGACAGGATAGTCTATACCAGGGGTGGGCAAACTCGGCCCTGGAGGGTTTAGCCTTGTGTTTTGGCACAGTTTAGCTCCAACCCTAATCAAACCCACCTGCTTATAGATTTCTTGTGATCTTAAAGACACTGATTAGCATGTTCAGGTGTGTTTGACTAGTGTTGGAACAAAACTCTGCAGGGACACCGGCCCTCGATGATCAAGTTTGCTCATCCCTGGTCTATACATACACGGCTTTCTGATACTATTCTTTGCTACTACCAAGTGCATCTATCGAGAAATGCTGAGGTTTTTTTAAGTGAAAGTGCCAAACTGCAGTTAAAGCTAAAACTCATTCTTGATCACATTTGATGACAACTAATGATCGCAAACAGCTGAACAGAACTTTCAATTCCAGTTGCTTTGCGCATGTCCTGTCTTGGTGATATGATTATATGCATTACTACGGAGACATGTTAATACTCGACTGTATATAAATTTGGTGGGCAGGGAAACCCTCCTATGGTCAACCTTAAAGAGGGAGGGATTTGAATCCTATTTTGAGCATCAAGAAATTAAAAAAAATGTACTTATTGTGTTTATATGACCCCAATATGACTCTGGACACACTATACCTACACACAGTATTGTCCTAACAGCTTCGAAACGATGATTTTCATCATAGGTGCCCTTTAAATAAAATAAAAAATAAATAAAAAAACTAATACAAAAAGACAAATAACTACTTGATATTGCATCATCAACTGTCATTTATTTCTGTTTTAAAATAAATAATATAAAACAAAACTGGTTTAAATAAATATACAAATAAATAAATGATAGACACTAAAAATGGAATGGAAAATGGATACTGAATTTCATAAAATAATATGAAAATATATAAAATTATTTAGATTGCTATATAATCTACTACTTTTTTGCAGTAATGACCATTAATATTTTAAATGACACAATATAAAAGCATGAAAACAAACATTAAATTATAATAAAATATGGGTCGGAGTAAATGGAGTAATATATGGCATATTGACTAGTGTCTGCAGTGTACAATTAAATTTCATGAATATGACAAATGAGTTGATACTAAAAAACAAACACTTAAATCTGTTCTCAAGGTTTACAGCTGCATCCAAGCTTCATTAAGTCTCCTTATTATTATCCATTGTGCAGTGTTATTACACAACTCAATTGCATAAAGAGTGTGTGTTTTGTGTCTCCACAGTAGCCACACTGGCAAAGATGATAGGGTCTGTTTCCAAATTACAGAGCAGCTTTAGAGACAATGAGATGGTTCACAGTGAAAAGACACATTGAGTTTGTGTGGGCTACTTTCAACTGACGTCACAACAAAGAGACGCTTCTCCTGCCAAACACATTCGCTCATTGTGGTTGCCGTTGCAGTTTTTTTTTTTTAAGATGAAACTTGTAACACTTTATTTTGATGGTCTCTTTTTAGATATTATGTTGACTACAAGTGAATGTATAACTGCATGTCATTAGAGGATTAGTAGACTGTCTACTTAATATCTGCTGACACTATATTTTGATGTTTCTCCAACAGACATTACGCAACTAACTGTACATAACAAGTACAGCTGAAATTAAATTAAAGAAAAAAACAAAATTTCCTACATTTTATGAGGTCACTGTTTAGTCCTACTGGAAGTAGTCACGTACAATGCTCAGCATATGTAAGTACAAATTTAACCCCTCACAAATCTATCTTTTGAATTAATTTTTTAATAGGAAGCTATATAATATTATATGTGTGCATATACATTAGATTATGAAGCCAAATATAGAGCTTATCCAACAAAATAACTTGTAATAACGGTCCAAAAACTCGTACACCCAAATGTATAAGTTATAAAAATTATTTACAAATAAAAAAAAGAGAATAAATTCAAAGGAATAAAAAAAAGCAAAAAAAAAAAAAAAAAGGAAAAATTTAATTGAAATGTTGTAGGTTGTAATTTTGCAATATTTTACTTGAATTTAATTGTATTCTCTTTCAATTTCTAAACATACTTTTAAATTGTATCATTTTAAAATGTATCATTTTAACCATTGCATTAGTCTCAATGTAAATCCCCTCGTAAGGCAGCACTGGAGCAGTGTGAGAGAGTGGACCACAGCACATCAAGTGAAAAGTATTAACAAAAGAAAAATACACAACTGAAGTCTTATACTTTTATATTAGACACACATCTGATGCTTGTATTTGCAGCAGCTCCACGTCCACAACTTCACACATTGGGTAAAATTAGGCTTTACAGTCTTTTTTACTTCCACTGTATCTGTTCAGCGGAGAGAACTGAACCAACCCCGTGAAGTCAGACACAGCGACATTCCAAGATGGCTGCGCCTAGGTCTAAAATCTATAGTGAAACATGCTGTTTTTTTTCTAAATGGTTACATTAATCAAGTTTAATATATTTTCATTAAAGTGGAATCCAATGTACAAAATAAGGTAAACTTGACTTCCCTTTAAAAAGCTACATGTTTATCAGAAGCTTCTTCTGCAACATGAAATTCCCTCCCTGCATTCACCAAAAAAATCAGCCAGCAATTTTCATGCAGAAAAACAAGCTACCATCACAGAACAATACAGGAGAAGCAGTTCCTCGAGGCTGAAAACACTGAAATAATGAAATGGCCAACCTGACCTAAACCTAATGGAAAAAATCTAGGCTGTTTTTACACTAGTGCATTTTCGCTTTTCAAACTGTGTTTTAGAATTA